CTCCTTAAATACATTCCTCACGGGGTGCTACTGTGGTAGAAAGTAGAAGTAGAAATCATATATTTTCCACAGGTGTAAGTCCGTCCACATTATCTGACTCACCACCAAAGGAAGGTTGTTTTGAAAATAATTAATCTACAACTTAACAGTTCTGGCAGGCCGTCAACCAACGATCTTGAGGAGCTCCTGAGAGCTCAAGAGCTCTCAGGAGCCTATAGCAGCATAACTAAGAGCTGGTCTACACCAGCACCGGCCCTAACTATAAGATTTATCAAAAAGGAAAGTTTTAAGTCTATTCTTAAAAATACAGACTGTGTCTGCCTCCCAGACCCCGGCTGGAAGGCGGTTCCAGAGGAGAGGAGCTCGATAACTGAAGGCTTTACCCCCCATAGTACACTTAGAGACTGTAGGTGCCTGGCCATTTAGAGCTTTGTAAGTGAGAAGAAGGATCTTGAATTCTATTCTAGACTGTATAGGGAGCCAATGCAGAGAAGCCAAGACAAGAGTAATGTGGTCCCTTTTGCTAGTTCTGGTCAGTACACGAGCTGCAGCGTTCTGGACTAGTTGAAGAGTCTTTAGAGACTTGCCAGAGCACCCTGACAAAAGAGAGTTACAATAATCCAATCTGGAGGTAAGAAATGCATGAACTAGTTTTTCTGCATCATTTTGCGACAGGATATTCCTGATCTTGGATATATTACGAAGGTGAAAATAGGCTGTTCTTGAAACTTGCCTGATGTGAGAGCTAAAAGACATATCTTGATCAAATAGAACTCCTAGATTCCTAACAGTGGTGCTAGATGCCAGGCTGATGTCACTAAGGACAGTCAAATCACTAGAAAAAGTCTCTCTGAGGTTCTTAGGGCCTAGCACAATAACTTCAGTCTTGTCTGAGTTAAGTAGCAAAAAAATTGTGGTCATCCAGGTCCTAACGTCCTTAAGGCACGTTTCTAGCTGACATAACTGACTGGTGCCATCGGGCTTCATTGATACATAAAGCTGAGTATCATCTGCATAACAATGAAACTGTATGGAGTGTTTCCTCATAATATTTCCCAGAGGAAGCATATATAATGTAAAGAGAATTGGTCCAAGCACTGAACCTTGTGGGACTCCATGGCAAACGTTAGTGTGCATAGAGGACTCATCATTAACATGTACAAACTGAGATCGGTCTGATAGGTAGGATTCAAACCAACTTAAAGCAGTCCCTGTAATTCCAAGCAAATGCTCCAGTCTGTACAACAGGATCCGATGGTCATTGGTGACAAAAGCAGCACTAAGATCTAACAAGACGAGCACAGAGAGAAGTCCCCTGTCTGAAGCTTGAAGTAGATCGTTTGTAACTTTAGCTAGTGCAGTCTCAGTGCTATGGTGGACTCTAAATCCTGACTGAAACTCCTCAAATAAACTGTTGTCATGGAGAAAGTCACACAGCTTATTAGCTACCACCTTCTCCAGGATCTTCGAGATAAAAGGAAGGTTGGACATAGGCCTATAGTTAGCTAGAGTTTCTGAATCTAGAGTAGGCTTTTTAAGTGGAGGTTTGATTACCGCTACTTTAAATGCCTGTGGTACATAGCCTGCCAGTAAAGACGAATTGATCATATCTAATATAGAGTTGCTGACTAGGGGAAAGACTTCCTTAAACAGCTTGGTTGGGATTGGGTCCAAAAGACAGGTTGACGGTTTCGACACATAAAAAATGGAATAAAGCTCTGGAAGGTCGATTGGAGAAAAACAGTTAAGACTAATATCTGGTCCTGGAGCTGTCTCTGCCGTATCAGACGTATCCGCACCAGGTAAGGGCAGGAGATTACCAATTTTGTCTCTGATGTCTAGAATTTTGTTGTTGAAAAATCTCAGTAAATCATTACTGCTGAGGGCTAAAGGAATACAAGGCTCAATGGAGCCATGACTCCCTGTCAGCCTGGCTACAGTGCTGAAAAGGTATCTAGGATTGCCTTTGTTTTCCTCGATTAGAGAGGAGTAGTAGGCAGCTCGAGCGTGACGTAGAGCATTCATATATCTTCTATGACTATCCTGCCAGAATAAACGAGATTCTACCGTTTTGGTCGAGCGCCATATTCTTTCAAAATTCCGCGACGGTTGTTTTGGAGTACGGGTTTCTGAGTTGAACCATGGAGCCACTCTCCGCCGCTTGACAACCCTCCGTTCCAGGGGAGCAATCGAATCAAGAGTAACTCTCAGCGAATCCACTGCACTATCAACAAACTGATCCAGCTGAGAGGGACTAAAGCTGTCATAAGAGTTTCCAACTGGGTTGAAACACGGTACTGAATCAAAAGCAACTGAAATAGCTTCCTTAAATCTAGCCACAGCACTATCAGACAAACTTCTAGAGAGCACACCTCTTCCAAGCAGAGATAATTCTGGTAGGACAAAGTCGAATGTAATAAGGAAATGGTCTGATAGAAGAGGATTTTCTAGGAAAACTGTAAGGTTATGGATTTCAATGCCATAAGCTAAAACAAGATCCAGGGTGTGGTTGAAACGATGAGTAGGTTCGTTTACAACCTGGGTGAAACCAATAGAGTCTAATAGTGACATGAAAGCTGTGCTAAGGCTATCATTATCAACATCCACATGGATATTGAAGTCACCTACAACAATTATTCTATCACTGCTAAGGACTAAATCTGATAAAAAATTCTGCAAATTCAGATAGAAACTCAGAATATGGGCCAGGAGGGCAGTAAACTACAACAACTAGAACTGGCTGAAAGGTTCTTGAGACTGGATGTGAAAGACTAAGAACAAGGCTTTCAAAAGAAGAAAAATTCAGCTTTGGTCGAGGGTTAACTAGAAGACCAGAATTAAAAATAGCTGCTACTCCACCACCTCGTCCGGTGTCTCGAGGTATATGAGTACAAAAATTACTGGGAGGAGTGAATTCATTCAAACTAACATATTCATCTCGACACAGCCAGGTTTCAGTCAAAAAAAGTAAATCAATATGCTGATCTGATATCAGATCATTCACTAAAAGAGATTTGGATGCTAAGAACCTAATGTTCAAAAGTCCGCAGTGTATATTCTGATTTTTTAGCAAAATCGTATTTGTAGTTTTGATTCTAATGAGATTTTGACGATTTACGCCGTTTGGATGACTTATAAAAACGGGTCTGGGCCGGGGGACAGACACAGTACCTATAGTATAACTACAGTTCGATTCAGAATTACAGCTATAGTGACTGGGAGACAGATCTAAGGGAGGCGCAGAGAAGCGTGTAAGACTGCAGCTCTGCCTCCTGGTCTGAACTCTGTCTTGTTGTCAATATAATGGGATAGTAGCTCAAAATATTGAGATAGTATCTCAATATATTGAGATACTATCTCAATATATTGAGTCCACAAAGCACGCTGTTATCATAAGCTTTACATATTACACACAACCTACAGTAGCAAAGCTTACCTTGTTATTTAACACCTTCATCCTAGAGGACAGACAGATTGTACTTCAGAATGGGGGTCACTGGGAAGGTGTTTAGAAAGACGGGCAGTGTTTGATTTAGTTCTACTCAAAAGTTAACCTCAGAAGCTAAAAGTGAACTTGATTTGTAACAAACATATTGAGTGAAGCATGAGGATTAAGATTGGCAAATTTGAACAAATATGTGTAACTTTTTATTTATTTATTAGATGAAAGTCAATCAGAGAAACCTATACATCAAATACATTCAAATACCTACACAGGCATGCTCAAATGGTAGAGATTTCCCTGTGAATAACTCTGGGATACAAGGATAAAGACTGGAAATAATGTGACTGTACAACAATTATCACTATTAAATATAAGAAATACAAACCTAACAATCAATAAGAGGAGTCTGCTAATTTGGAGGATACAAATTAAAATTAGTAAATAAAGTTGCCTAATTATATTTGCTATATTTTGATTTGGTTTTCAATAGAGGTTAAATCTGTTGTTTTGAATTGTAAAAGGGGATAATTTGTCAAGCCTTTTCAGTTTGTGTAAATAATATTTTGCTCAATCATACATATAAATACATACATCAAATAAATTAAGCATAGTTCATCACTGAGAAGTTAGACTTGTAAAAGATTGTGTAAATCACCAGTTTTTCTCAGTTTTATCTCTTTTCCAACATATTTCGAAAAGGTGTTTCTCGAAATCAAACAAAAGGCTGTGTGATATGAAAGCGAGAATTAAATCTATTGATTACATAACTGGAAATGTTTATAAATATTCAGAGAATAGTATCTATGTACAATTCTGAATAGAAATGCTTTGATCTGTTGGAAATTTTACAAGAATGAGGCAAGTGTGATAAAGTATTCCGTGGATTGTGATTTAAATAGGGAGTAGTGATATGTTTAAAAAAATTAAATTATAACTTTCTAGAAAGGCTTCCCTAACACATTCTTCTTTCTCGGTTGTTTAATAGTTGTTCTTCTTTTTGTGGTTATTGGCGGTTGTCAAACAACTTTGTAGAGCATTACCGCCCCCTTCTGGATGGAGTGGTCCTTCATGGATTTAAATGTTTCTACATTCTTGAGTTAAGTCCGGTCTTATCCCACATGCCCTGAGTTCAGTTTTAACATTGACTCGATCATGATATGTTTCTTTTTATTTTGTTAGTGAACATCCGGTGTTGCTGGTAACATGATGTATTATCCTAACCAACAAGGGGCGCTACTGTTTGTTTTCTTTGAGTGAGCCCGTCGAGTACAACCTCAACTTCCTTCTGAATTTAGCGGCAAACTTCAAATAAAGGGAACTCAACTGCATGCGACCAAGAAATAGTAATAAGAAAAGCATAAATCTTCAGTATTTGAAATATAATACTTGTAAAACACTTCGTGAAAAGCCAGGTAATGACACAAAGCTGTATCGATCATGTTTATCCTCTTTAAAACATTAGGGTACTTCTATTACTACAGCATCAAATGGCGCCATCTAGTGTTGAAAACCCTTAACTGCTTGCCTGATCCGGTCTTCATCAGCCAACCAGGGAAGAGGGTTTGCCGTGATCTGGACTGAGGCGGATGAGACCAGAAACCTTTGTTCCGTCTTCCCTCTGAAAAACGGTTTGCAGAAACCAGAGCCGTCCAATGCCTCCTACCGAGCCGTGCTCACGATTCATGCATGAGAATGTTTTATTAATTAAAAATTAGATCAAATCATTCATTAGGCTTCCTCTGTTTTTATCACTCATCGCTACTAGCCGACGGGGACATCTGGACGTTTTTTTCCCTGTTAGCTACTAAATGGAAATAAACCACAGGACTGAAAGTGGAAGCAGCCGAGGTGCGTGAACTCTAATGACATATATCACGATATCAGTAAAAATCTATAGTGACCTGAACGGAAATACCTGCTTTTATTCTTAATGATATTCCGGTTGTGTGTCTTTAAGGACCAACTGGATCCAGAGTGAGTGCTACGTCTGGGATTTGCTAGTAAAGCTTATTTTATTATTGATCAGATCTTTATTATACAGTGTGAATATATATATATATATATATATATATATATATATATATGGTGCATTTGATCCCTGTACCTTCACACAGCATACTGTGAGTCTATAAAGAAACTCAATAGGCTCCTGCAGCATTCAACAAGATGTGTGAGTTTGTCTGAAGGTTGATGGATGCTGTTGTTGTCAGGGCACCAGAGAGCTGCACTGTCATGTCATTATATCAGCCGGCACTTTGCCACCACAAATCATGCTGTTGGTTCAGACTGTAGCATTAAGGAAGCTGTTACTGTGTGGCATCTTTGTCCAAACTTAAGATCAGTCAGCATACAAACTCCATCATCATCTATTTTCACAGACAGACACACAAATCCTGAAGACTTTCAAAGACTTATGAGAAGAAAGAAAATTCTGAACTTTTTACCCCAAATCGCGAGACAAAATATAAAGCAAGTAAATTTTTTAAGTTTCTGTGTATTCAGCAAAAATATTCTCATCAAACAACAATCTAGAGAAGCTACCTCATGCGACACATTTTACGAGTGAATTAATATGTTGGTGTGTTTCAGTTTTTACACTGAATAACTATCCTGTCACATTTTGTATGTTTTCTCTTTTATTTGCTCCCTTGCTCGTGCCAGAATAAAATCATCACACATATGCTGACATTACATTTAGATATGACATTGCCAGTTTTCCCAAGATATTCTTGTAACTGGTTATTGACTCCAAATATCTGATACAACCTAAAATAACAAAGAGATAGCTTTAAAAAGTGTGTGACGATCAGTTGATGATTGACACTTGTCATAGGGCTCATCCCCTCAGCTGATTGGACATAAAGATGTGTACATGTGTTTTGTGTACTTTGGGAATAGTGTTACCTATATCAGCTTTATTCTAGTTATTCATTTGAGTTGGTGGGAATGTTAAGTGAACTGCAACTGTGACTCAACTGCATGTTGAGTCACAAAACAAATCCATATAACAAAAGTGAATTGTCTCTCTCCTCAGGTAATGACCTTCCAGTCCACTACTATCGCCTCCTGGCCCCGCCCCTGCAGCTTCTATCAGCTGCAGTGTGGCAGGTCGTGCAGCAGGGACTCGTGGACCACTATGGGATGCTGGAGGAGTTTGTCACCATGGTGACAGAGCTGGTCCCAGAGCTGATGAACTACAGTCAGAGAGCTCAGCTCATCCTGGGACTCAGAGCCAGGGTTGGTAATATTGACTAAATCACACAGATCTGACACACTGATCAAAGACTTTACTTTTTACTTTACTGTTTACTCTTGTTAGAGCATTTATAAACAGTAGATAATGATTAGATGCAAATTTAAGCTACTTCTATTGTCCTTTTAAACACAACAGGCGGCTTTAGGTATCTCAAGTCCACTCACCATTTACAACACTATTTACTTTATTCACAACAATAACCTCAGCCAAACACATCAAGGCAAAAGTTGGAGGTTTGAAAAATCTACAGACTTTGTAGGACTTCTTTTTATTTGGTTGCTTTCATGAAATGATAGACTTGATCGACATGTTATACCCATTTATACAAACCCATGTTATCCCAGCATGAAGTGTCCCTGCATATGTCCCATTGGGTTGAGGTCAGGTCAGTCAGTGGAGGAAGTTGCATGACTTCCAGGGTCTCCTTTTGTCTTTCAGTTCTTCTTTTAAAGGGGGGTCTTTATCCTGTAGAATGAATCAGAATCCACATAGAATCAGAGTGTAGTCATTTCAGTCCAAGTGTTCAGCTCCAGGAGAGGCAGAACATGAACAGACTGGAATATTTGTACCACCAGTGTTCACTATTGGTTTGATACACTGCTGCATCATTCTCCTTAATGTTTTACAGGAATTCCTATAATTCATATTTGCCACAACATTCAACATAGAATCTATATGCTCAACGTCTACCTCCTCCAGACTTATTCAGTCATTTATAAACAAACTGCAATTTCAAGAGATGTACAACACTTTGGATTTTCAAACACAAATGAACTTTTTAACATCATTCATACTTTTATGCAGCCCAAGTTTAAACCTTCAATCGATTTTCTCTCCTTTAAGGATTTCGTCATGAGTGTGTGTGGGTCAGATTTCAGCAACAGAGTATTGCACGATATTGTTCAAATGTTGAGCAGCTCTAAAACTGTATAAAAGTGGCTGACACAATGACTCCCCTATCAACACAGAGCAGAGATTTGGAGGGGGGAAACAGACATACCCCCTCCCTTTTTACACCACAAATTCAAAATCAACATCAAAGTGTTCTTATCTGTCATACATTATTGATTTTACTTTAACCTTCTAGTTTAGCCTCCACATTTAAAACAATGTGTACACACTGTTACAGCAACTTTTACATCTTTAAGAAAAATTACTTTTCATTTTGTCATTAAGTTTGAAATTCTAATTCTGTTTAACGTGTCACAAGGGTCTTTTTGTGTCCTCTTGAGCTTTGAAGTAGGCCTGGGAGATATGACTAAAAATGTTCATATCAGTCGATATCCATAAATATAACAATAAATGTCAAATCATTATTTCTTTCAAATTGAGAGGCGGATCTTTGCCCCTGAGTCAAAGTTGAAGAAAGCAGATGGTTAATTTAAACATTCTTTATTGATGGAATATGACAAACTGTACTTGAACAGAGGAACATTTCACAAAACGCTGATATGACAGTTTGCTGCTGGACAGTAACACTTACTGGCCCGCTGCTTGATGAGGGGACACAAACACTCGTTTGGGACCTTTAATCATTTCTTGCTCTTGGTGTGTTCTAACGGGTCATTTTGTTTCAAATGGTGGAAAAGGTTAGTAGTGTTGCCTGTTTTGGCTGGTGCATTTTTTCGGCACAGTTCACAGAGCAGGCTGATCTGTTTTAGTTAAGGTTTGCCTTTTTTATATAAAAAAAAATATATGTATATATATATATACATATATATATGTATCTGTATATATATATTTACATATTTCTATTGAGAAAAGTTACATGGCCATAATCATCTTCATGGTTTTATCACCCAGGCCTTCTTTGAAGATTGGAGTATTTTGTTCTATATTTCGCTCATTAAGTTTCTATGATGAAGTTGCGTTCTTTTGTCAGTGTGATCTTAGCTTGATGCAAAGTGTTTTACAGTTTGATGCCCCTTACAAACATTTAGTTTCGTCATTATTTGACGAACTGAAAACGCCTCTCCCCTCAGAATAACAATTTGATGTTTGACACTTCCTCTTAGCTCTGAAAAAAATGCTTAAAAGTGAAACGACGACTAACTCTTTTAAGTGTGCATTTTATGGTTTTATTCTGTGTGTGTGTTCATTTAGCTTGTTCTGGAGATGTGTCGAGGCGAGCACCCAGCTGACATGCAGACCATTCAGCCACATCTGGACAGAATTAAAGCTCCTGTCAGCTCTGCCAAAGATCACCATGTAAGCAAACAATCACTAGAGAATAAACACAGACTACTGTACAATTTGTACTTAACACAGATCTATATTAAAAAGGAAATAATCTTCAGAAAAGGTAAAGGGGTAATAATGGATTTGAAGTGTCTAAAAATGTAAATTCTGGTTGGTGTTTTTTGTTTTGGATTTTGAAAATTCCAAAAAAATCAGAGAATCGAAAAAGACCAAGTACTTTGAGTTTTCTGTTGTATCACTACACTGATTTACACAAGTCTTCACTGTGTGTGTGTGTGTGTGTGTGTGTGTGTGTGTGTGTGTGTGTGCGTGTGTGCGTGCGTGCGTGCGTGTAACAGGTGACCATCAACCAGGTGGAGGAATCTGAGGTGAACTTTGTGGAGTTGGTGCATTCATTACTGGAGGATCCCTCTGAGAGAAAGTATTTTTTCCAGGTGAGAAGGCCACCTCTCCCTCTTGTGTTTCTTGTGCCTCTGCACACCATGCAGAATATTTCAAAATATGTTGGAGACAAAATAATAATAATTCTGGGAAATTTTAGCTTCAAAAATCTTCTTTTAAAAAAATCCCAGGAAGGGGCGCTGGTGGCGCAGTGGTTAGTGTGCGTCACCCCATGTGTGGAGGCTGTGGTCCTCCAAGCGGGCGGCCCAGGTTCAAATCCCACCCGTGGCTCCTTTCCCGCTTTTCATTCCCTACTCTCTCTGTTTGATGTCCGACTCTATCCACTGTCCTGTCTCTCCATTAAAGGCACAAAAAAAGGAATCCCCCCCCCCAAAAAAAAGAATCCCAGGAACAGCATTAGTCTTTAAAGTCTTTATTATGATGAGGCAAACAAGCTTTGGGAAATGATTGCTTCAGTAAAAACTAAAAGGAATTTTTTATATTTTTTTTCTAGTGAAGGTCTTTTCAAACTGACCCATTTTTTTTCACATGCTTTTCTTGGATCCGTTTACCCATAAAAAACATAAAAAAACAAAAAACATATCTTTATTATGCTCGTATCTCCACATTGCATGTAAATTTATCTGAAATGAGCGTGATCTAGAAACACAGTTAAGCAGTGAGTACAGTATGTTATTCTTCTTTTCTCTAGTCCCTCAATTAAACAACTTTTATACATGAGGGGAGGAGTCAGACGGCCGTCCAGGCGATGTAAACAAAGTGAAGATAGGACTCTGAAAACTCTGAAAACATCACAGACAGTGGGACTCGGGTGTTACACCCATTGTATCATGACTCAGAGTTATTTTCAGAGGATATACCTGATTTCTATTACATTTAAGTGTTAAAAATCACATTTAAAGCCTTTAAAGAGAAGTCCACCAACAGCTGGAAGTATGTTTGAGGTAGACACTACAGACACACAGACATACACAGGGAAAGGATGTGAAAAAAACACAGAAAATTTTACCTTTTCCGAATTTCTTTTTCTTTTTTAAATTGCGTCAATTTCAGACAAAAAAAATGGACTCAGTGTGCAAAGGCCTTGACTAAAAGGTAAATAACTTAAAATGAAGTCATTGTATTTTAAACAAAGATTTTGATCACATTAAAAAAGAAAGAGACAACACAGACGCAGAGAGACTGGACAGCAGAGGCTATCTGCTGGATGTCCAGGCTGTTAGGAGTGTGTCCAGGGGGCTCCAGAGGCTTTAACAGTCACTTGTGAAAATGTCAAGTGTTCTCGTGCACTTGAAGGAAGCTTTGATGCTCCTGAATGAATACCTGGTTTTGTTTTGTATCTGCTCTCTGTGTCTTTGATCTCAACAGCCCCAGAGAAACAGACCTCTTTATGGGTTTCATGGGGAGACACTCACACACTGTAGCATGAGACTGAGGTACAAGGTGTCTTCAACACACACACATGAACTACTCTGACTTACACAATTAACCAACAACCAAAAACAGCATCTGTAGGAGGTACGAGCTGTTTATGCTGCACAGACATGATCTGACAACCATAAAAACTAAACTCAAAAAGACCTGATAGTCTTTTATGTAGTGTTACATCATGTCAAGGACTCTCAACATGCATTTCAATTATATCTTTTAATCTGCCACAGGGATCTTTTGCTGATCTTAAGTGTTGGAAGCTTTTGTGCCAAAAAATGTTGGAGGCACTAAAGGAGAGCAGCAAGGATAGTCGGGAATCCGAGAATCCCCTCCTCCAAAAGCATGGCGCGGTGGTGAAGTTGTAGCATCAGGACTCCCTCTGTCTCAATCTCTCCCTCTCTTCATTCTGATCTGCAGGAAATCTTCCCCTTGTACTTTGGCCCAAAGTATGACGAGGCCCTCGAAATGCTGGTGTGGGAGTTTATATCACGACTGGAGGAGCTGCTGCCGGTTCCTGACTTCACACAGGTGCCCAGTTTCTCTCAATTCTTAAATACTTTGCAGGGTAGGGGGATTTATGGCACATATACCTCGACGTTTAGGATGCACTTAGGTCTCCCTTTAAGTCTGTGATGAACGCCACCAGCCGAGAAGTTCTGGTCTGCTGATAAAGTTGTTGTAGATGTAGAAAATGATATTGATTATAATAATTATACTCATGGTTAACAATTCGCTTTACTGCGTGCTAAAACCAACTTCCATTGTTAGTCTGAGTACTATTAATATATCTGATAAACACCTTAAAGTAAAATTCAAATAAAGGTTGTTTCTCTTCCCCAGTGCTACTATCGTGCTTATTCTAAAGTCCTTTCATGTTTATATAACAGGTCATGAATGTGTACCTGGGGAGGTCACCATGCCCTTAGAGAGAGGTGCATGCAAACATGGTTATTCACTTCCTTTGATTTCACTTTCAAAGTAAACCAAATGCATCATGATTAAGTGTAGAACATGGACATTGCTGTGACATGGCACACTATATTGTTGCCCCCTGGCTCAGTGAAGGGGCTCATCTGTCTTCACAAAATGACCTCGAGACAGAGCAAGGAAGGTTAACTGGGTACAGGTGCAACACCCCCTCTCCTCTGTTTTATCTCTAACAGGTGGAGGGCTCTACTGCCATAATGAAAGTGTTCTTTAGACTATGAAAGAGCAGCTCCACTCTGAACTCCCTGTGGGTCATTTAGATAAAAACATTAAAAAAATCTCTGCACACCTAAATGTGTGACAACTTAATAATAAGAATAATGCACATAATACACTATACCTGATGAAGGTGGGTATGATTAAATACATTTGTCAACATGAAGAGAGACAGTGTGTGGGAGGCCCTTCTCATTGTCTCATTTGGAAGTCTAAAAATAAACAAATGAAGGACTAACTTCATGATCCCAATGGTGCTGCAGCTGGCACGCACATGAACTCAGGTACAGAAGACCCAGGATGAAGAATAAAAGAGGCATTACATCCTTAGTACCATGGTGCAATCAGCTGATTCAAAAGCTATGAACTTGATGATCACTACATGTGATGCTTTCATGATGTCATGATGTTAGTTTCATGTTTAGTACATGTTCTGTATGGTTGTTGTTTTTTGTTCTTCATGTTTTAATGCGCTTGGAGTTCCCTGCAGAACAATAAAGATTGAATTGAAGTGGATAACACGATCTCCTCTTTCAGTTGGCAGCTTTACTCAGAGATGCTCCATCATTCCTTGATGACTGTTTACAATCCTTTTTCCCGCCGGAGGACATGAAGGCAGTACTCAAACACCACAGAAACCTCGGCCATTTTGAAGAAAAGGGTAATTTGATTGTTTACTCTTAATTGTACAATTGTACAAGTTTTTTCCTTGTCCTTTCATTTATTGAAGCATCCATTTTTGATATCATTTTCTCTTTCTCATTTGTAGATCCTCGATTATTACCCATGGATGACTGCATCCTCTCCTCCCTGTCTCTGCCTCCGGGGACCAAAGCTGCCATAAAGAATACCTCCTGCACACCTGCGTTCAAAGACTCAAACCCTCCAGAGCACCAGGGACGTCTCACTGCTCCCTTCAGCACGAGCAGCCTGGAGAGGGCGAGCAGGACGAGTGAAGGACCTAAGGAGACGAGAGTCCTGGGTTCTCAGGAGAGGAACGCACAGAGCTCATTTAGCACACAGACATGTGATGAAACAATAGACCTCACTGCATCTAATGAGACCGCCCACCCCGACTCTGCAGCTGGTGACAACAGCCAAAGCTTGAGAGGAGGGCGGGTTCTCAGGAAGAGGAAGCTGAGCGGAGGAGTGGACGTTCCAAACAGCAAACAGCCTCCAGAGGGCGCACATTTTTTGTAAGATTACCGCAAATGTTTATTTTTTTCTTCTTCTTCTACAAAGACATGACATTAGGATTTCCATCGATCATCATTTGAAGACTAAGAGAATTTATTTTGATAAATCACTTTGTTTTATTAGTTGTTTTTTCCCCCTCCCTGTCAGAAACTCGTCAGTGGATGATGTGAATTCAGGTGAATCTCCTCTGATCTCCATATGGGGAGAATATACAGGTGTGTACTGTTTTTTGTGTGGCCTCGTTGATACATAAGTCCAAGATCAAAGCCTGTGGATAACTCCTCTTGTGTCATTGTAGACTCTCAGGAAGGCCCCCTCCCAGTTATCACAGACTCTAAAGTCCCCTGGTCAGATGAGGAGACCCTCCACCTCATCGACATCTGGGGGAAAGACTCTGTGCAGCGGGCTCTGAAGGGCTGTCTGAAGAACCGTCACATCTTCACACAGATCGCACACAGGATGTCAGAGAGAGGCTACATGAGGTCGGTGGAGCAGTGTCAGACCAGGATCAAACGTCTGAAGAAAAGCTTCAGACAGAACAACAGGTGAGTCCTCTTTTCTGTTTCATCGCTGCAGTTTGTCAGATCACCTCCATACTCATACCTTGAATGTCACAGCTGTAAATTCTGTTTGTCCCTGATGTGACACCAGAGGGAGCTCCAGGATCGAGTATAAGTTTTACGAGCAGCTGCAGCACGTGCTCGGCTCTTCGGCTCCCTCAGCCGTTCCTGAGGTCACCTATGACGTGGAAGAGGTCGTCGATGAAGAGCAAGACGGAGACCATGACTTACAGTTTGTCGGCCACACAAGCCGACTGGAAATCGGTACAGTGTTACATTTCTCTGATTACCAAATTACCAAGTTTCTCAGTGTCCAAATATCTGTCTCAGACTAGGTGTGAACATGAGTTCTTTGCTCAAGTGGAAATCCAGATCTGTGTGTAAGATTTCTAAATCATTGTTGATGTTTAGTCCCTGTTAGAAATAAAAAGAACCAAAATCAGGGAAAACTGGAACTGGAAAAAACCTGGAAAATCAGAGAAAAAGTAAAATGTCCTGGAAAAGTCCTGGAAAATAATTTCTGGAAAAGAGTGGGAACCCTGCAAAATTCCACCTCAAATTCTTTCGAGCTAAAGTAAAAAGTCTCAATTGAAAATTTGAGGATGTAGAAAGTTGTGATCAAGAAAATAATACAAGTAAAATGATTTTTTGTGATGAACAATCTACTATTGATCTTTCTTTAAGGGACTAGAAGTGTTCCTTGGACAGACTTGGAGACCTTGACCCTCATCAACACGTGGGGTGAAGACAGGATGCAGCATGAGCTGAGAGGGATCCACAGAACTGGACACATTTTCTCCGTTATATCCGACAAGATGGCCGCCCAGGGTTTCTCCCGAACACCAGAGCAGTGCCAAACACGTCTGAAGAGGCTGAGGTCGAGTTTCAGGCAGTGCTACCAAAACAAGTACGTCTGCTCATAGCAGGAGGCAGGAAGAAAAAGAAAAGTGCCGCATTTGTTGTTGATAAAGCTTTTTTTCTTTTTTCTTTTCTCACCTCTCCATCAAGTATGAAGGGACAGGAGCAAATCGAGTGTAAGTTCTATAACGAGCTGGGAAGAATTTTAGTGAAGGATTTCCTCTTAGCGCCACAAGAGGAGGAAACGCCTTCAGGAGAGCCCAAAGACAACGATGTCCCGTCCTCCACCGGACCTGATGCAGGTACATTTTGAAACCCCACAGTGTCAGCTGAACATTAAGTGAGCTCTGTATGTGATGCAAAGAAATACATGCTGTGAGATTCTGTCATTACTCACCTAACGTTTTTTGACTCAGCCAAGTTATTCTGGGAGCCTTTATAAACAAGAGTTAGGCAAAGATTGAGATTACTTTTGTTGAATTAAACGCACAGTATGTCAAATCTGCCACCAGGGGGCGCTCAATCAAAAACAGAAAATGACATTGAGGCTAGCGGGGAATTATGGGAGTTCTCTCTGCTACTCCCTACTAGATTTTAGATTTTAGAGGTATAATAAGGATGAAAAAGGAAAACATTTTATGGTTATTTAATTGGCCTACATTTAGTCAATCATTTTTTTTATTTATATATATATATATATATATATATATATATATATATATATATATATATAGGCCTATTTTTTTTACAGAATGTATTTTTATCATGTCATGCGTTTAGTTAAAAGAGTTATGTTAACATTTTCTGAAAGCTGGTCAATCGTGTACACATGGTCTCAGGAAGTTCTATTTTTGTTCGCAGAATAAGAACAAATTCAAGTAAGAATATATTGATGAATCCCAGATTCAGCAGCTACTGCTTCCTTATGCAGCGGTCTTTGACTTAACATCCTTGGCAACGATAAACATTTGGTGTCATGGCAGCTGCAGCGAAGACACGTCCAACCACAAAAAGATTTCTCTGATAACTGTTGGGAATATTAGAGTTACTGAAGTACTCTACAAAAAAAATATATAATATAGGCTTAGTCAATTTTTAATGAATTTAGATAAACCTGAATGTAAACATAGTCATACAATTTACTTTTGCCAGAATTGTATTTTTATTTTATTGTATTTTTATTTTTATTAAACTTATTGATAGTTGCGACTAGCAGTTAGTTTAAAATAAAGATGTTAATAAAACAAGAAAAACAACATGTCGGGAGAAACAGCATGGAATCTTTTGAACCTCTACTTAATCATGAATCCTCAGGGAGGTGCTAAAGGCTCACTAAGCAGTCTGAACTCTCAATGGCTCATGGTTCTCCATTTTCTTGGTCAAACTTCATTTAAACAACTGTCAATGAACCACTGAAAAGTTTTGATTGTCTGTTTGTTCTTCTTCAGAGTCTGCTGTGGGAGTTCAGGAAGACAGGAAGAAAGTCCCCTGGTCGGACAAAGAGACCATCATCTTGCTGGAGTTATGGGGAGACCAGCAGGTACAAGACAGAGCCACACTCCAGCTTCTAACGATTCAGTCAACTAGACAGAAAACATGAACACTTAAAGCACCCACCATTGTTGGATCATCTCTTTACATTCATGTAGAAAGTCATTAATGTCTCCTTCATCATGCCACTGGTGATTACTTTTTTGGACGTTTGCAGGAGAATGATACCGTTTCATTCCGATTGTTAACAGTCAATTATCACCTACATTCAGGTCCAGAAAAGCATGAGACGCTACCCACACAACGGTCACATTTTCACTGAAATATCACAGAAACTCAACGCTAACAGCTACTCCCGCAGCCCCGATCAGTGCCACACCAGGATCAAACGCTTGAAAGCAAACTATCGGCAGTGTCGGGAAAACATGAGGTAGAAAAAGATATATATATATAAATATGGCCTTTCTTACTGTACTGTTGCCTTTTCATGTGTGTTAATTTGTTTGTTTGTAAAACTGCCTTTATCGTTCTGTAGCTCTTCTGGCTCTGACAGAGTGGACTTTAAATTTTACGATCTGCTGGAACAAATCCTGGACAAGCAGCCGTCGACGTCCTCCACTATAATCACGGACTCCATCGAGATATCAGAAGACTCCAACAGTGAATCAGTGACTGAAACAGGTTCAACTTCACCTTCATCTCTCTTTGCCGCACGGCACAATCACAACACGTTGAATACAAAAGGAGTTGACACATGGAATTTCTCAACTGGGATTGGAAAAAACAGGGATTTGTTTGTTCTTTAACAGTTTTGTGCAAAAATTTGGTGATCAGAATCAGAAATACTTTCTCACTCCTGGGGGGATTAGGTCATAATAGTAGCTCTCAAACACAATATAGCAGAAGGAAATATAGAATAAGCAAAAAGAAGTGCCAAAGGGCAGGGTGTCCGAAAAAATGATAAGCATTGTACAAAGACAAGTTTGAAATATGTGAACGATATTTACAAAACTAAAGGTGCAGTGTTGAACAGTGTAGATATAGCACAGACATAAGGCTCAGTAAAGACAGAGTTATCCAGCATGTATTAGACATGATGCTGAGGTACAGATACAGTTCAAGTGAATGGGGCAGTTTGATCATTTGTGCGTCTTACTACTTCAAACAAGCAGTTCAAAGTGTTTTTTTAATGCTTAAACGTTAAACAAGTAGAAACTCTCGAGTCAGCAGATTTACTCAGTAATGTTGTCTAAGTGATGCTGCCACTCATCATGACAAAACATATGAGGCTGAAGCACTCGGAGCTGGAAGTGTCCACTTGATGTAATGCGTCTGTAGCAGCTAGGGGTGCAGAAATGCAAAATGTTCTCTAATCGATTACTCTTCCCATTGTTAAAGCGAGTACTCGAGTAATCGTTTTGTAGTTCTTTTTTTTTCTGTGATTCTTTTCCCCCACGGGAGGCCCCGCCCCCAACTATGACGCGATGCTGACTGTATCTATTGATTAATTTGAATCTTTGGGATTTTAATAATTGTTAGTAAGAGGCCTTTGTATTAACATTCAAATATGACATTTCTTACTTCAACAGACAGCAAACCTCAAATAAAACTTCACACAGATGTGTTATGACCGTTTTTACACTTTATTATAATTAGAGCAGTGAGTGTGGCGAGCGGATGCACGTTGAAGCTGTTTTGACAGCAACATTCTGTTAACAAAGACTACAGTCTGCAGTGTAGAGCACACTTTACTCTGGTAAATGAAGTTACAATAGAACAGGTGAATGATTTAAGTGTCTGTTTCATCTTTCTCCTCTGTGTGTAATGACACACTCGCTCAATCTCGCTCGTCCGTCCGCTATGAGCTCTGTCTCCCTATAAGGTTGTTCCATTTTGTAGTTATTAAAAGAATAATCATCTAAAATTCCAAAATATAGGTTTGCACCCCTAGTAGCAGCTAAGCCTGAAACTTAAAGCCACTGAGGGGCTACATAGACGGGCTAATCTATCCTATTAATTGACACGCTTGCCGGCTTCGCTCCTGAGCGTAAGAATTCAAATATAAGACAGTCCAATATCTTCTTCGTTTAGGAATATTTATTTGTCATTACATCATTGTCTTCATTATTGTCACATGTGAGCTGTTCAAACAATAATCCAGACATTTCCATTTACTTTCACTCCTGTTACCTCGTAGCGTACAGCGGTCCCCGTCTAGCAACACCTGACACCCCAGTGATAGTTCCTACCTATATATATATCACCTTAACCTAAAGGCAACACCTGCTGGAACAATTTGTGTTTGCACTTCCTAAACATGGCTCCTACAGCGTCAATCTTCACATGTAGTCAACATCTCCAACAGTCATGTCATGCTCTCTATTCTCACTCCATACATACAACATGTAGTGACCCGTGCTCTGTTTCTCCTTTAAGATGGAGAAGTCAAAATGTCTACAGACAAACCGGCGCCCAGCTCGTGGTCAGACGGGGAGACTCTGGCGCTGATGGAGATCTGGGGCGTAGAAGACGTTCAGACGGCGCTGAGGGGCTTCGTCCACAACGGACACGTTTACGCTGAGATCTCTGAAAGAATGCAGGAGCTCGGCTTCTTGAAAACCTCGGAGCAGTGCCGATGGAAAGTCAAATCTCTGAGGAACAACTTCAGACACTGCTACGACAGGAAGAAGTGAGATCTGTTTTCATCTGTTTTCATCTGTTTTCATCTGTCTGGAATGAAGCTCATTGTTGATTTTGACATTTCAATATTCTTTCTAGAAGTGGAAGAAGAGTGGATTATAGATTCTACAACCAGCTGGAACAGATCCTGGGACATGAGGCAGTGTCTCTAGATGAGTATGATGAGAGAGATGAGCAGGCAGACCTGGATCCAGGTACACATGACTTCATACATCAAAGGCTTTCCACAACGGGCCGTCCAATCAGAGTGAAATCATTTGTTGTGACTTACATGTTCACCAGAATCCAGTGCAGACGGTGTCACCACAGCATGGACGGAGCAGGAGACGGTCGCTCTGGTGGAGGTGTGGGCTACAGATGATGTGCAGCACAGCCTGAAAACCTGCGTGCGAAACGGGCACATATTCGCCGACATAGCGGAGAGGATGACCGCCACAGGATACCTGAGATCAGCTGAGCAGTGCCAAACTCGGATCAAAAGATTGAAGAAGGCGTACAGGCGCTTCTGCAACAGTCGGAGGTGAATAAAACACAGAAGTTCTTCTTATTTTTAACAATGTGTTTATTGAGTTTTAAACATTTTTCCAAGACACACAATTACAATTAAATAAATTCTAAGGAAAAGATATATATACAGTATATATATACAGTATATATATACACATGCACATATATACACATTTATGAAATAAGGGGGGAAATTAAAATATGATAATACAAAATTTAAAAAATTTAAAAAACTTTAATGACAAAATGTTGCAACATTATTACTGTCCGTATTAAATCAAAATAACCAAATGGAGTACATTGCCATAGATGATTTGTTAATCACAAATATTCTGCCCGAGAACAGTTTCTGCAAAAACGACCACAATTACAGACATCGCCAACTCTTTACCAGCCTAGCTCAAAATATGTGACAGATGAGAAGTTCTTTTTCTTTGAGATCCTTTTTTTTTTTACTAAGAAACATGCTTTACATCTTGATTTGATTGACATGTTTTAGAAGTGGGCGGCCTGTTACTTTTCGATACTTCCACCTTCTTGCTCCGGTGCTCGGTGATGACTCTGTGCTCGCTGGTCGGGACAACACTGCTGCTGACTCAAACTCACAACCCGTGATGGACAAGGATCCTGACATGTGTAGGTTTAGATATAACCTCAGCATATTTGCAAACAGTCTGTTTGTGCAGATACAATCTCAATATGAAAGATTAATAATCTGGTGTTCCTCCACGTAGACGACCAGCCTTCACGAAGTCACCTCCTGTCCGACCTGAGCAGAAAGACGCCCTGGTCAGACCAGGAGACTCGCACCCTGCTGGGGATCTGGGGTGAAGACCCGGTCCAGCTCACCCTGAGGGGCTGCCAGAAGAATCGCCACGTGTTCGAGTACATCTCTGAGAAGATGTGTGAGCGAGGATTTATCCGGACGTCAGAGCAGTGCTACACCCGCATCAAGCGCCTGAAACACGGCTTCCTGCATGAAAAGTCAGTCGTTAGTTCTCCCACTGTTTGTGTATTCTTCTTATGTGATGTCATTGAAAACTGGAGCTGGTTAAATGTCAAAAACACTTGAGATCAGTGGTTCTCAACTGGTCTACCCTCGGGACCCACCACCAACTCCTTCATGAAAAAACGGGACCCGAATTCCAGATATTTTTCAACCTATCAGATTTGTTCAATGGAAAATTGTGCAGTTTGGACCTCAGACGGTACAAAACGTGTGACAGAACAATGAGATGGAACAAAACACAGATGTTGAAAAAGCGCTTTATAGACTTTTTGACACAATATTTTTTCCAGGCTTATATTAGTGACCCACTAAAAATTGCTCAGAGACCCACTTTTGGGTCACGACCCACCAGTTGAGAAACACTGCTCTAGATAACTGCGTCGATAGTAACTTTCTGTCTCCTTTGAATCCAGGGAAGAATTTAAATTCTTCAGTGAAATGGATGAAATCTTCAGGAGTGAGCCACAAGCAGACAGCCAACTCGCTGACACGTCGATCCCAGACGAGCCGGACGACTACCAAGTCGTTTCTAGTCAAAAGACAGGTGAAACTTAAAGAATATGTACATGTGTTTTTCATCGTGTACATCACAAAGTGATTAAGGTTCTGGCTTTGATTTATTATGGGATTTATGTGTAAACATGTAACAAGATCAGTTCTATCTGTATTTGTTAAAAGCTACCTGTTTAGCTTTTCTCATCGTTATCAGAATCAGATTTATTGTCCAGGTATTCTTACACACAAAAGGAATTTAACTTTGGTGAACTGTGCTCTCTTATGTACAGGTACAACATTAAATATCAACAATAAACACAATAAGAAAAGACTAATATTTACATGATTAAATATGAAACAGAGCAGTGGTGAACAGTGCAAAAGATGCTGAAGTAACATGCAGTTATGTGACAGACGGGTCAATTAAGATGTCAATTACAGTATTTACATAAATAAGTATGCGTGTATTGATCATTTAAATTAAATAATATATATATATATATATATATATATATATACACACACACACACACACACACACACACACACACACATACATATATGTGTAGTTACAGTGACGGTTGGTTTAGAGTCATTTCACCGCGACAGGTCTGACACTCTGTGACTGTTTAGCATTCATCAGAGTGACAGTCTGGGGAAGAAACTGTTCTTATGATAGCTTGTTTGTTATTATGATAAAAGTGGTTGTTTTTTTATTTGAAGTCTTCCTATCTGTAACTTTCCTTATAGGTATACAGTGGATGGCTGAAAGCTCGAAGCTGCCCTGGAGCGACGAGGAGACAGAGGCCCTTCTGGACGTCTGGGGGAGCGAGGAGATCCAGGAGAACTTGAAGGGCTGCACCAAGAACAAACATATCTTCATCCAGATCTCTGAGGTCATGACCAGCCAGGGCTACATGCGCACTCCTGAACAGTGTCAGAGCAGGATCAAGAGGCTGAGGGCCAATTTCAGACAATTCCTTGAAGGCAGAAAGTAAGTCCAGCTGACATGACCCGGGCAGCATACAGCAGTTTTCATCATGCTGCACATTTTCTTATCAGGCATTATCTCCCTCTTCATTTGGTCTCTGTACTTCTGTTTCCTGTTTCCAGAGGGGACAAACAGGAATGCAAATTCTTTGACCAGATGGTGCAGATCTTTGGTAGCAAGTATGTCACAACCAATGACGGGCTGATCGACGACACAGCAGATGTTATAGGTAAGAAGTGACATCATCTTAAAGTGTGACAGATTGACCTTGTTGTTCCTGTTAAGACTGACTATGTCAGTACAAGGGATTATCTCATTTCAAATACAAGAAGAGTTTTGATATATACAGTTAGAAAACAGAATGAAGAGGAGGTTACTGTAGTTCACTTTTATGTCATCTCTGTAAAACAGGAAGGTGATGGGAAGCCTATTTTGATTGGCTGAGCATAAATGCTGGAAAAAGAGGAAGCAACTCCTCGAAAACTTACTGAAGTTTCATCATGATTCAAAATTCCATTTATTGGCCACAATACAAACCTGAGAAAAATGCATCTTTCCTCAAATCAGGCACATTTAATATTTGTCTTTTTTAATCCGTATTTAAAAAAATACGTTTCATTTATCCATTATTTTAGCAGGGAGGAGCCACTGAGACCGAGGTCTCTTTCCAGGGGGGCCCTGCAGCAATACAACAATAACAAAGAAATGTAAACATATAAACAGTGAAAAATAATGACACTGAAACACATGTTCAGACTTGCAAACCATTTAAATTGCAATGATTTAAAACAGCTGCAATTTCCTTCCCTCTGTAGTTCAGACTCTTTCAAAAGGCAGTATGAAACAAGAGAGGGCAGCTTAGCTGTACTGGGACAGTTATTCGACATAATGGGTGCAGCCACACTATAAACTATCTTTCCTCATTCAGTCCTAAACCTTCTGGTTGAATGTCTTGAAATGTGTGTCGACAGGAGATCAGGTAAGGACAGAGTTTACCTGTGAGTGCACTGTAAATATTTTTAAAACAAAATACTCTGTTACTTCTTTGTTGACACAATGATGCATTTGAAATCTGTCGCCTATGATATAAGGCATGTAAAGTTTTTAAGACACAAGCAGATGCATGTGTGCAGAGTGTTTCTCAGTATAGCCTGGACAATCTTTTTTCTGTTATGCACTGTTAGGCAGGATTTGTTCCTATGAGGAAAACCAGTTTGAGGCCTTATTTTTCCAGTTAAACATGAAATATGTGACCTATAAAACTAATCCTGATCCAGCCAGATACTTCAGTATTTAAACTGTTGGACACACTCAATGTTTACATTGTCTACTGTGGACAATGTAGCATTAAATGTTTCGATGTTCTGTCTTGAGAAAATCATACATTTATTTTTTTGGGGGTTCAGCATCGATTAAAGATGAACAAGATCCTGCTGGAGAGAGTAAAAAGAGTAACAATAGAAACAAAGTTTCATACTTAGTGTTTTAAAATGTGGTTTTCATTTGGCTTAAAACCAGAGATATCCATAGACTGCATCAAATATTGATGAGGCCAGTTTAGCGTTTACACTTCATAATGGAAACACCAAATGTTGCCACAGTGATGGTTGTATAGTCTCAGTCTCTCTTTCTAAACCAGGCTAACAGGCGTCTTACTCAACATTTTGTTGTCATATTTAGTTTACAGTGGTATAAGTCTTTTTATCTATATTTCTTTACATTTGTATCTGTAGACTGATAATTTTTTATATGTATTATTACTGCAAATATAATCTTAGTAGTAACTAGAAATCACAATTGAATTGTTTTAATGTTCTTTGTGTGACTAGAGACCTGAACCAGAGGAGCCAGCAGCTGACCACAGAGACATCCAGAAACAAAGATGAAACAAGATTAACCAAACGAGTACACTTGTGCTCAAATGGTTAAATAAAGACTGTGGTGTGCAGCAGTTTACAGCCGAGGGCCTGAAGAGGCTCACCATAGTCTTACCTCTGTTTAATGTAGACTTTAAATACTTTTACTTTCTTCATAGACACAGGCTAAAGGTGTGCGTGTGTGCGCGTGCGTGTGCGCGCGTGTGCGTGTGTGTGTGTGTGTGTGTGTGTGTGTGTGCGTGTGTGTTTTCATCCCTCCACCAGAGTGTCTTTGTTATTTATAAATGATAGAGCCATGACATCAGGTAGCTCAGGGCTTGAGGGATTAAAATGAAATCTCAAAAAGGAGGAAGCGCTCCTCAAGTACAACACAACGTTTCTACTTGTATTTTATTATTTTATACTTAGACTTAAAGTGAGGAGGGTTTGAAGCACAAGCAAAAACAAACTCACACAAGGCCTCTGTTGTGCTAACCACACCGTTCAGATTCTCTACACTGGTTTGTCATGTTTATATCTCAGTGTTAGAAGGTTCAACTTTGACTCTCTGTATGAGTTGATCTTGAATATTATTTATTTAAATTATTATTTATTGTCTATTTAATTTTTGCAATTTACTTGAAATATGTTACACTTCAATCTTTATTAAAGCACATTCTTTTGCGCACCCATTAAATCACCTTCAAATGATTCATTTAGGAGTCTTTATTTCACAAAACAACCACATTCAAAACAAATGTGTGATTATTCTTATATTACAAATAAAATCACAACTTAAAGCTTGACCAAGATATTACAGGTAAGACAATGACCTTAAAGTATATATCATAGGTCTTCCATCAATGCTTTTACACTGGTTTAGTAAGACATTGCTAAAAGATGTGTTCACACATACTGTATTTAACTAGCCCGCTTACTTCCTGTGTCACCCCCACACACACTCTGGACTCTGCAGGATTTACAGCTGCTTACATTTCTTACAGTCAGCCAGAGCTTCCTGCTGTGTTTCTGTTGGATGATGAGAAATGTCTTCTAAACAATCTAAGGTTTCCCGTCATCAGTTTGACCTCATTCTGTTGAACAGGCCTCGATCACATTTTTGGTCGACACTGTTGTAAAACATCGAGGCGGAGCCGAGCGGGAACACTGGGCGCTGATCTGGTTTTCATCATATTAAGGACGGCAGTGTGTCGGACTGAAAAATAAAAACTGTCAGATGAATTTGCGTATAATTTTGTAAAGCTATTCATGAACCCAGGCGGATGACTTTGGCAATCTTGTTAATTCTTCTTTTCTTTTATAATTAGAAAAACAATTTAATCTTAGAAGGTCACAAAACAAGAAAATGTCTAAAGTTAGCTTGTGAAATGCTAGCAGCGCTAATGCACGCTAGCTCGCACTAAAAAGGAAGTATGGCTCTTCAGTCGATATTAGTCTTGCAGTTATTTGTTGAGAACAATTCTGTTCAACGAATAGAACACAAGTTTTGAATTTTACAGACTGGGTCACCGATATTATGCCATAGCATAATCAACATGAACGTACAAAGGCGTACTGACGGCTAAGCTTCAATGCGGCGCTGGTGCAGAATCACACACTTAAAAAATCTGCAATGACATTGACCACCCTAACATGCTGATGTCTCAAAGGTAATATTTACCATGATCAGACATCTTGGTTGAGCGTGTTAGCATGCTAACAAATCCAAAAACAAAGCATAGATGAGGCTGATTGGTTTACAGCTATTTGGCCATACACCAGATTAGAGGGTCAAATACGACACCTTTTTTACAATTTATCCTTCAGTGACCATTTACTTTTGGACTAAACATATAAAAGAAGAAACAGACATATCTGTTTCTTCTTTTATATGTTTAGTCCAAACTAAATGGCTCACTTCAAAGACATGAGGACCATCTGACCAAAGACCTTCTCTGGTGGGTTTGTCAGAATCCACTAGCACAGCTCCCTCTGGTAAAAGTGGTGAACCTTCATCTATCAGGATTGTGTAGAATTTCTCAGGGTGTTTTTGAATTATACACAAGCACTGGACTAGGTGTAGGACAGGAGGGGGGTCCAGTTCTTCCTGTAGCTTCCTGAGCGCCGACAGAGGAATCCTTCCCACTGGGTTGTCTTTCTAGTCCTTCGCCTCTTTTTCCTCTTTCTCCACATTTGTAGCATCTTCCACGTCCAAGGCTACATCATTTTCCACACTGCTTCTCTCTTCTGCTTCCCCGTTGTGTTCCATTCCTCCCTCTGTTTGATTGTTATTGTTTGTCCTGATGAAAACAACTGTAAACATTTCCTCTCCTCCTTGTAGTTTGTAAATCCAAAAGCTGAGATAGTCGCAACAGTCTTCAATAAAAACCTTAAAACATAAAAAAAAACATGTTTGCTTTGTGTTGGATGGTTTATTAACAGTTAGCATTATAGTCATCATGTTCTCATATCAGGGAACTTACCACATAACAACAATATCCAAAGCAGCCCAGGAAACACAGCCCGTAGAGGAGACTAGGTACAGCAGCACAGGTCATCTGGACATTTAAAAAGAAACATTTCAGGGCACTACATGAAAAAAACATGTTCACTTTATACAACAGGTGGACCTAGCTATAGCCATTGCTTTGTGGTCTTCATCTTTGGAACCTCACATTTTGCATCAATGTGCTTCAACGAGGACTTAAAACTAGCAGAACACAAACCCAATAGGAGAATGTTTGCTGAGGCCATAAGTTACGTTACAAGCTGGATCAATTTCTCAAAGACTTCTTTCAAACTATGCAGCCCATGGAGTTGGCACGTGCTGGTCGATAGACGGACTAAAGAAATAAAAAAATGTTGGCATTGGTCTCACTTTTCAGACACTATGAGAAATGTCCGCATCTAAAGTCTGTGAGCAAAATCACAAAATCACAGCTGCATTTGATTTCACCATCACTGTAACTAAATGTATTCAATCAAAGTCAAATGTTCTTTTAGTGACTCAAGTATACTTACCCAAAACATCAGGATGATCCAAGTAATGCTGCGTTTTTTTGCAGTGGATAAGACTATGGAAAGACATGGCTACACACACACACACACACACACACACACACACACACACACACACAAAGAATGTGTGAAACATGAATGGTGTGTTTTGCTATTTAAAACCACTGAAAACTTTTTGAAGACACTTTTATAATTTAGTATGCCGTACAACTTGTCAATGTTTTTCCCTGTCTCACTTTAAACTGGTAAAAGTTTGTTTTTGAAATGTCATAAGAAAAGCGTTAAATAACTCTATATGTTTCGGATCACAGAATATGATGACTTCTGCATAAAGTTTAAGGGTGCATTCTACCTTTTCATAAACCAGGCTGTCTCCAACTCCAACCTGAAACAGTAAACATTGTTTTTGTTCCTCACAATGTAAAATAGACAACATGTTGTGAAATAATTTAACAAATGTCTGTCTGTTATGGACTCACACATCCCGTGCTGTTGTCGCCTCCTTCACACAAGCAGGAGTCTGGGATGGATGGTTTCCAGTCTTGGTAGCCTTGGAGTCCACAACACTTCAACTGGAGCCAGCGCACACACACAGGTTTTTCAGAGGTACTAAGAAATGTCCCCAACTTGTGTATAAATATCATAAAACTGCCAAAATATGACATATCAGTAGTTAAGGACTGTATTTAAAGCGCTTTACTTTTCCTGCTTTTGTTTCTTTCTTTTGTTTTGTAGCTTGGTGGTAGCAAAAAGTTGTGAAGGAAAATTTGACATTTGGGTGAAAATGCAAACTTTTTCACGGTTACATATTTGAAAATCATAAAGAACAACATTAGGATTTATTTAGTGTGATGTTTGGCTAGAGTAAGTCCAACTCTCTAGACTCTGTTTGTCCTGTTTGGTGAGCAGGCAACAAGTCGACTGTGGGTCTCTGACCTAGCTGCTGCAAACGATGTGATGTGACAGTAAACTTAGGTTGTTAGCTGGCACATGTAAACTTGTTCTAAATCTCCTAAAGCTGTGTGGAGCTGAATATTCAAGTATTCTGTCTGTCAGTGCAGGAACAATCTCAGTTAAGGTCATGACAGCACTCTCATTCCCCTTAATGTTGTCACACAAAAGATTGTTTTTCTAAGAGTTCATACCTCAGCCTGCCAGTGATACACATTGATGAGTTCATGGCAGGATGTGTCTGTCGACCCGTTTTGTGGGTTGCTTTGTATATTTCTCAGAGGAATTAATTTCATGTAGCGGTTCTCCAACTCTTCTATCTCCTAAAGGCAAAAAGAAAGAACAACACATGCAATGATGTTCCTGCTGCACATGGACGATTAGTGAGCAGCTGCTAATATTTCTGAAAACATGGAGTTGAGTGTGACGAAAGGATAAATAAACTTTAGGTCCAATTGGATTTTTAAAAAGGTTTATTTTGGGCCTTTATTGGAGGGATAGGACAGAGTCAGAAGTTGGGGATAGAGTTGGTGCATGATGCAGGAGAGGAGCCATGGATTCTAACCTGGTCCTCCCGCTTGGAGAACTAGGGCCTCTGTGACCTCTGTGCTAAATCATGATGTGTGTGTTCAGATATACATAAGCAGGCATTTTTCAAACCTGAGCTTCTTCCTTCCGTGATATCATAAAAGTTGGGATCATAACCACAAACAGGACAGTGGTTGTAGCCACAATCTAAGGAGAGACAGAACACACAAAACAAACAGCATTACTGTGATGTAACATCATATGTCTCATTTGCAAAAACTGATAAGAGCTATTCAGAAAAATAGTTCTGGTGCAAAAACCCAATACAGTCTATATGGAACTCAGTCAGAGCCACACAACTTCAATTTGAGTGATATTACCCGAAATAAACAATAAATAATATGTTTTCTGACATTTTATAAAACGGAGTAATATGCTTCTGCAAATGAGCTCTTCAATATATATCACAAAAATATTCACATACCACCGTTGCACAGAAGCCGTTCTTTCTCCAGATTTCGAGCTCAGATTTGGAGACTGAGCCCGGCCCATATGTACACCAGTCTGGCTTCACTTGTCAGCCTTGATGCAACAAAAGTCTACAAGGAAGAAAAGAAACAATCATATCAGCATGAACAAACACAGCACTGAAGGGACTGAAGCTGGAAATTAAATTACAATCAGTATTGAAAACTGAATTAAAATCATCTATTATGTTCTTTGATCAGTAAAATACAAATCTTTCATTCACTGTTGTGCAGATGATACAAGCTCTTATTTTTACTGCTCAATTATAATCCATCCATCCATTATCTATACCGCTTTTCCCGTTAGCGGTCGCAGCTCACAGCCCATCCCAGCTCTCATTGGGATCATTGGGAGAGGCAGGGAACGCCTTGGACTGTTGACCAGTCAATCATAGGGCTGACATGATGTATTTTAAATAGAATTAATGTTTTATATAGCTTTCATTATCCTCGTGATTGGCCTTCAGACATCATGTGAGTCGATCTCATTTGACATGTATCCTATATCACTCTCTAGGTTGTTACTAAGATCAGAGAGTTTTTATATTCTCTTTTAGCACAAAATATATCATGACATTTGTTATCATAAAAAACAACAATAGAAACTTTAAAAGCCGTTTGTCTTTAAAGGTATGTGCCTTTCAGAGTAGATGTTCAGTAGTCTCTCAAACCAAAGCAAGCACTTTCCC